GCCTCAAGTATTTGTTATCTGGTCCTTTAAAAGACTGCCAACCCCCAGTTTAAGACTTAACATTTTTTTACTTTAATTAGCATATGTGTTATTTCTGTCATAGCCATTATAAGGTTAAGAATCCTGGAAAGGTACTAATTTTTGTTTTGGAGCCAGATAGATTTGGGTTCACATACCAGCTATGATATTTATAAACATTGATCCTGGACAAACTAATTATTGTCATGGAGCCTCAGAGATTTCCTCTGTGACCAGGGAATATCATTAGTATCTACCTTGGAAGGTTGTAGTGAGGATTAAATGAAATGGTACATGTTAAGGCTTAACACAATTTCTGACATACAGTAAGCACTCGGTAAGTGATAGAAGATTAACATTAGAAATTCTACTCTGAAAGTATGCCTATATGTAAAAAGTATATTACAGCATATTTTCTGCATGCTGTAATATATTTTGATTAAGCACTTGCTGATTTCAGATAATTAAAAAGATGGAAAGATACTTTTATTTTTCATAGATCCTGATTCTTGATAATTTCGTGATAATGTTTTTATGTTTACAAACTGGATTTAAATACCACTTCTATTTTGATACTGGATTTTTTTTTTTGAAAGATGAGTGAGAAAAGCCTTTTTAATTAGGCCAGGGTTGGATAATTTTCCCCATACGTATATTATTCTATAAGTCTTTTTTATGATTTGCATTAACATCTTTATGGCATGCTCCTCAGAGTTGAAATAATAAAAGGTCATTTTTTTTCTAAAGATATATCTAGTTTACTATCCAGAGACTTTTATATTAAGCTGCTTTTTGAAGTATTTGATTTAAACTATCTTACAATTTAGAAATTTGATACGCCTCTCAACTTCAAATGCTGGTTTATTAACGTTAATCCCAAGTTAAGAGTGAGCAAATAAAAAGGGCCATTGTTCTGACTGAGTTAAACAAAATAGAATTGGGGTCATTGTGGCTCTGTGGTTCTACAAATTGTACAGTTTCTTGGCCTTAGCTGATGCTTCAGTGAAGTGAGATGATCCAGAGGAGATAGGGGAGGGCACTAAGTGTTCCCACACTGTCCTTGATGGAACAGTGAGATGGAGGCAGAAGGGCTCTTCCATAAAACCATTGAACAGCACCTGGAGAGCTGCAGGGTTCTGTCTGATTGTAGCACCTTAAAAAAAGTAGACCTAAAGAAGACGAGATGTGACAGAGTTTTCTCTTGAGGTTAAGAAACAAACAAAATCAGACATTACCTATCTGGAGAGATGAAGCTTGAGCAGGAATATTCCCCAAGGTAGTAAAGTGTAAGAATTTTATAAAATAGATATTTACAGTATACCTGGACAAGAGTGGCCTATTCTTGTATTTAAAGGATATTGTTTTAGGACAAGTAAAAGGAAGTAAGAAATAGGTGTTTGCTTTAATTTCTCATCACAAAAACATGAATTGGAATGTTCAGAATACAAGTAAAATTCTGATTTTCAGAAACACATTTTTTTTTTTTTGCTTCCGACTATCTATTTACTATTTTATTTTATATCCTGGATTATAATATACATTAATATTGGAATCTATGGAGATGGAAAGCATTGAAAGGAAAACCATGTGTGACCCATCCATTATGGAAATGTTATAATATGTTCAAGTTATTTCTATTTGAAAAGATAGGCACCATACTCTAGGAGAGAATCTTCTAGAAAATTCTGTCAGTTTGCCCTATAATAGTAAAATCCTTATTATCTGAAGTTCAGCCTTGTGATCGAGGCAAGCCATTTGACTGTACTGTTTTTATTCCCTTGTGTGTAGCATGGAAACAGTAACTCCTATTTCTCTTTTCACTGGAGAAATATAGGTAGTTGAAGGACTGTTAAGATGAGTAGCATTTTCAATAGTTTTGTGGAACATATTATGTGAAGGTCAGTAATTAACCCTTGATATCAAACACAGACCAGAAAAGTGAAGCAACATTTAACAGGAAAAGGAGTTTTGAACCTGGAGTCAGAAGACCTGGATATTTGTCTTGGCTCTGCTATAAACAGCTTGTGACTTCAGACAAGTAATTTATCTCTCCAAAGGTCCAGTTTCCACTGACTTACCTAAGGAGAACCTGACAGGCCTTCCTTCTTGCTTTGTATCCAGTAGTCCTTTAGATTAAGTAGGAATAGCAATTCTGACACAGTAGGATAAGGGAAACTACATCTCTTTGTATCTGTGAACTGAAAAGTATCCACTGAGTACATCTGTGTATCTCATGCCATGCTTCGTGCTTCTTACATATCTATCTTCGTGGAGATAGATTAACCCAGGATATCAGACACAGACCATATCTACCTTCATGGAGATAGATATCTAAGAAGGTGTTACTGAGTCTTTGCCCTCAGGAGTTGTTGTTCATTTCATGGGAAGACAAACTGTTTTATATAAAGGAATATTATAAGTAAGCAAGGAGATAGTGGAATGATCTGGCAGTTTGAGGACTCGTGATGTACTGCTGGAGAGGATACTTTGTAGCCTTGTGACCTTGAACATGTAAAAGGAGCTTTGTTGACTCCCTCCAACTCTGAAATTTGGTCATTCTGTCTTTGATGGAGCTCTGAGTCAACCTGTTGGTAGACAACCCAAGAAAGAACTGCTCTTTAAAGCCAGATTTTTACGTGCGTTCTGTGTAATTGATCTAGTAGATGGAAGGAAAGGTCTACTTTAATTCACTAGAAATGCAATGAAGGGATAACCCTTCTTGTGAAAAATCAAGCATGTGAGAAGTGACAAGAGACCAAAGTGACCTTGTTCCTGAGGGAGTAAATTTGTGCCCTGGATCTCATTTCTTCTTGCCTGCAGCTCTGCATTTCAGCAGTTATTTTCTTTCCTAAGATATCATTCTCTCTTCACTGAATCCTCTTTTACTTACCATCCATGCCTTTTGTTACTTGCAGCAGTGATAACTAGTTGCCTACCCACTCCTGTTCTCTGTGGCTTCCTTTTAGTATATAGGATCCTCAGGGTTTATCTGGGTACACGTTGGCCCAGCTAGAAACTGCATTTCCTAGCCTCTCTCTTATAGTTGGGTGTGGACTACATTCTGGCTAAATGGATGTGGACATAGTGGTATGTGTGATTTCTGGGTTGCGGCCTTGTAAGGAAGCTAATCGTTTTCTGTTTTCTCTTTACCCCCTTTTGCAGATGAGAATGTAGGAATGTTAATATGCTGATGGGGCATATTATTCACCCTGCAAAGGTGAGAGCAATAGCTTAGAGGGAGATGGATGAATAAGATGGATTTTTAGATGATCTTGAGGAGCAGAGCTACCTCCTAGCCTGGTACTTCTCATTTATCTTTGGGTGGTTAAGTGAGAGAGGAATAAAGTTTTATCTTTTGAGCTCCTGATAACTTTAATGAATAAAAATCCTCTTTAAACCACCTCTACCTTGGGATCCCCTTCATCTGTTGCCCATTTTTTTTTGTTTCCTTTTGTAGCAGAAATTTTCAAGAGTTGTTTATATTTGCTGTCCCTTCTTCCTCACCGCTGATTCTTTAGACCGATCATTTGAGCTCATCAGTGTGAATTACTCTTCCTGTCAGTGACTTCTTCCTTTGCTTCCCCCAAGTCTTACCATCTCGGTAAGTGACATTATCATCTACCACTTGTGCAGGCCAGAACCCCTGGAGTCATCCTCATCCTTGATTTTTTTCCTCTTCATCTCATGTTAAGTCTGGTCACTTCTGTCTTTGTAATGCCAACCGGACCTGACTACATCTCACTTTTTTCACTGGTAAAAACCTAGGCTGAACTAGTAGCTTTTGTCGTCTGGCAAACTGCCAACAGACTTCCCTGCTTCCTCTCCTGTTTCTGTTCTCCTCCCTCATTCTCGCCATACACAGTAGCCAAAAGAATGTTAAATGATATTCAGATCATATCATTCTCCTGCTTACTGGCTTTCCAGTATACCTAACGCTGAAACGAAAACTTAACATTTTATCATGGAAATAAAGCCTTCCTCTCAGTCACTTAGGAGGCTCCATATCTGTGGTTCTCAACCAGGGGAGATTTTGCCCTCAGGGGATGCCTGGAGACATTCTTGGTTGTCACAAATTGGGATAGGTTGCTGCTGGCATCTAGTGGGCAGAGGCAAAGGTGGCTGGTAAACATCCAGCATCCAATAATGCACAGAAAAACTCCCAACAGCAAAAAATTATGTGGTCTAAAATGTTTGTAATGTTATCACGCATATGGCTCCTGGCTGCTTCTCTGACGTCATCTTCCACTCTCCTCCTTTTTGTTCACTGGGCTGCAGTCTCAGTGATGTTCCTTTTTTTTTTTTGCTGACTTTAAAATGTTTATTCTTTAAAAAATTAGTTGCTTTTTATACAGCTATACAAAGTTATTAATGTTTCTTCGGCAATGGACTATAATGGAATTTTACAACTATATAAAAAAGTTACTTTAGCCTAAGAAACAGTATTTACTGTGTATACATAGTTGACTGACAAAATTCTCTACCATCCAGTACCCTAATTAACTGACGAAATAAGCTACCCATATTACAGGATTCCCCAAAAGAAAGGAGGAAAAAGATACACACACACGCACACATACACACACAACCTTCTGTGGCTCAAAACACAGTATCACGGCCCTAGCTGCAGGCAACTTGCAATTGCCAAATACAATTTAGTGATTAAAAAAAACCTTTCAGTGATGAAAAAACACTTGTAAATCCCACTGAAGTACTACTTTAGTTTAACTATACATAAGAAATTATTTAAGCTTTGGCTATTCCAAATATATTTAATGCTCATGTTGTAAGATGAGCCTTCCACCACCAAAAGTAACTGCATTTTATCTTTGAAATTAAGTGGAAAAACAAACAAAAAACTAAAACCCAGTGCTGGTGACAAATGTACAGCGAATTCATATCTTCATTCTTCGCAAAGACTGAAATCAATTTTCAGGACCATGAAGAGCTAGAAATTCACCTATTTTCAGAGACTTGTTTGTAGACTATGCAGCAACTTTGTTGTCTTTCCTGTATTCAAACTCTGCAAACTCCCGGCTCCCACGACCTCCTCTGAATCTACCACGAAATCCTCGAGGGGCAGTGAAGGTACCACCTCTGCCAGCACCACGCCCTCTGCCACCACGGAAACCAAGACCTCCTCTGCCTCTGTATTCCCCACGACCACGGTTTGGACTGAAGTGGGATTCCAAATGTTTCAGCATTTAATCTTTCTTCAGCCCAGGTTGGACTCCATTCTCTATTGTCATCACAAGAAATATTATCAAAGAAGGATTTAGTTTTGTCATAATAGCAATTAGGTCCAAGTGGATCTTCTTCATCAGCATTTCCTTCACTGTTTGGAGTATAAACTCCTGAGTCTCCTTTATCTTCACCATTTACAGGCTTCTCCTGTTTCTCAAGTTTATCTTCTTTTAATTTAAGCTTATTATGAAACTTTCTGTCAATCTCTTCCTTAAATTGTGGATTTGCACTTTCAAAGTTAAAGTCTTTCTCAAATTTCATTGGCCCAGCTCACCGAATACCAAATCTTCCCCTGCCACCCTGATGACCCCCACCCCCTCTCTTTGGAGCTGAAGGAGCACCTGGAGCCACTTGTCTCTTGTTATCATTTTTGAGTTGCTCATTTTCTGGCCTTGAAACTTTGTGTACTTCAGCTCGCCTGTGCTCCTGATTCTCTATTGCTTTTTGGCTGGTAGATGGCAAAGGCCTGGTTGATACAGGACTCCTTCTCCCAACAGGTGCTGGAGCAGGTAAGTGGGCCGAGACGGTCTGCACTGCTTGCTCCATGGTTGGGCTTTTTCTTAAACGGTCTAACTGAGGGCTTGAACGACCTTGAGATAACTGTGTTTTTAGGGATCTTGTATCCTGTGTAAAGGCAGAATCAACTGCATTACTTTGGGGTAAGACACCACTGTTTGATGTTTCTATTCCAAAGGGTGTCAAAGAGCTTCCAGCAGCAACAACAGCACCAAACTGCTGCCCAACTAAGGAACTTGGACTGAACTGACTGTATGTGAGCATCCTGCCGAAAGGCCCATAGGTACCCGTGGACTGGAATGAAGAAGTTGATGAGCCTAGTGAGGACTGAACAATAGCTGGGTCTTGAGGCAAAGAACACTGTGGTTTTGGTGGCTCACAAACAGTGAGGTCTTCAATGTCACTCCCACGGGATATAATGTATTCAAAGACTTCATCTCGAGGTGGTATTGGACAATCTGTTGGTCTGTCTTCTGTACCAAAGGATCGAACTTTGGCGAGGGCTACAGTGGAGTTTTCGGTGTTGATGGTGTAGACTAGAGGATGCCCTCGTAGCAGATCTCCGCCTTGGAGATGAGGCTGATCTTGCTGCTGATGTAAGGGGTGCCCCGCTCATGGCGCCGCCGCGGGCTGCTCGCCGAGAGGCAGATCCCCTGCTGCTGTTGTCTGCTCCGCATGCCCGCCCGCTTGCTCCTTCGGCGCCTGTAGCAGCTGCTTCAGACCCAACATGGCGGCAGGGCCGGCTCCTCTACCCTTCCCCAGTCTCCTGCCTTCAAGCCGTGATGCGGTGGCCTTTTTTTTTTTTTTTTTTAAGTAGACTTTATTTTTAGGTTCACAGCAAAACTGAGCCAAAGGTGCAGAAGTTTCCCATATACTGCCTATCTCCACACATATGCAGCTTCCCCCATTATCAGCATCCCACATGAGAGTCACATGTTTGTTACAGTTGATGAACCTACATTGACACATCATTATCACCCAAAGTCCATAGGTTATGTTAGAATCCATTCCTTTCTCCCATCTGTTCTGGGGGGGAAAAAAGAAAAACAAAAAGACTGACTTTTGGTATTGTACCTTCTATGGATTTGGACAAATTTAATAATGACATGTATCCACATCATAGTATCTTATAGAGTAGTTTGACTCTGCTGAAAATCTTCTGTGATTTGGCTGTTCATCTCTCCCTCTCCTCAACCCCTGTCAACCACCAGCTTCTTTACAGTTTCCATACTTTTGCCTTTTCCAGAATGTCAGATAGGTGGAATCATACAGTATGTAGCCTTTTCAGACCAGCTTCTTTAACTTAGGATAAATATTTAAGTTTCTTCCTTGTCTTTTTGTGGCTTGATTGCTCCTTTCTTTTTAGTGCTGAGTAATATTCCATTAGACAATGGATGTACTACAGTTTATTCATTCACTTCCTGAAACACATCTTGGTTACTTCTAAGTTTTGGAAACTATGAATAAAGTTGCTGTAAGCATCCATGTGCAGGTTTTTTTTTTTTTTTTTTTTTAAAGTTTTCAACTTGGGTAAATAACAAAGCACACGATTGCGGAATCATATGTTAAGAATACGTTTATTTTTGCAAGAAACTGCAACAGTGTCTTCCCAAGTGGCTGTGCCATTTTACAACCTCACCAGCAGTGAATGAGAGTTGCTGTTGCCCCACATCCTTGTCCACATTTGGTGGTGTCGGTGTTTTAGATTTTGGCCATACTTATGGGTGTGTGGTATATGACGTTTTTTCTTCCCTTTGTATAAAAGCACGTTCTGTCTCAAGGATTTGTGCATGCTGTTCCTTTTACTTATAATGACTTATTTATTTATTTATTTATTTATTTATTTATTTTTGAGACGGAGTTTTGCTCTTGTTACCCAGGCTGGAGTGCAATGGCGCGATCTCGGCTCACCGCAACCTCTGCCTCCCGGGTTCAGGCAATTCTCCTGCCTCAGCCTCCTGAGTAGCTGGGATTACAGGCACGCGCCACCATGCCCAGCTAATTTTTTGTATTTTTAGTAGAGACGGGGTTTCACCAAGTTGACCAGGATGGTCTCGATCTCTTGACCTCGTGATCCACCCACCTCGGCCTCCCAAAGTGCTGGGATTACAGGCTTGAGCCACCGCGCCCGGCCTATTTATTTTTTTTAGAGACAGGGTTTTACTCTGTCACCCAGGATGGAGTGATCATCACTCACAGTAGCCTTAAACTCCTGGGTTCAGGTGATCCTCCCACCTCAGCCTCCCAAGTAGCTAGGACTATAGGGTGTGTGCCACTGTGCCTGGCTAATTTTTGTAATTTTTGTAGAGATGGAGCCTCTCTGTGTTGCCCAGACTGATGTGGAACTCCTGGGCTCAAGGGATCCACCTGTCTCAGCCTCCGAAAGAGTTGAGATTATAGGTCATATACTTCTTTCAGGTTTTGACATGGCCGCCTTCTTTCTCTTCCAGAGGGACCTTCATGATTACCTGTATATGCATGCACCCCCATCTCTTTCATATCATTCCATTTTATCTTCTTCATATTCATATTCATTTATTATTTGCTTATGTGTTTAATTTATTTTTTGAGATTGGGCCTCATTTTGTACCTAGGCCGGAGTGTAGTGGCGTGATCTCTGCTCACTAAGCCCACTTCAGCCCTAACTAGCTGAGGTTACAGGCCTGTACCACCATGCCTGGCCAGGTTTTTATATTAATAGAGACAAGATTTCTCTGTGTGGCCCAGGCTGGTCTCAAACTCCTAGATTCAAGTGATTCACCTGCCTTGGCCTCCCAAAGCACTGAGATTATAAGTGTGAGCCACTGTGCCTGGCCATGTGTTGAATTTATAATCCCGCTCTCTCTGAGACACTCAAGGGGTGAGGGCTTTGTCTAGGCTCCTGCTCTATCTTTAGCATTTCTACTTAATAAATATTTCTTGATGATAGAGAGGTGCTAGAGTCAATTTTAGGAATGGAGCAGGGTTTTCAGCAATAATGGCAAGTCACAGGATCCAACTGGCAGCAGTAGGGAAAGTTGAGATTTGCTGGAGGGTGAAAAATCCGTTGAGACAAGGCTGCTTTGGTCTTCTGTTTAGTAATTAATTTTGTAGAATGGAGGAATTCACCCTTGTTTATTTTGTAAGGGGGCAAATGACAGAAGAGCAAGCTTTTAGGAACTTTTTAAGAAAGAAATGTTACTTCAGGGTGTAACTTTGGTTTTGCCTGTGTCTCTTTTTTTTTTTTTTTTGAGACGGAGTTTCGCTCTTATTACCCAGGCTGGAGTGCAATGGTGCAATCTCGGCTCACCGCAACCTCCGCCTCCCGGGTTCAGGCAATTCTCTTGCCTAAGCCTCCTGAGTAGCTGGGATTACAGGCACGCGCCACTATGCCCAGCTAATTTTTTGTATTTTTAGTAGAGACGGGGTTTCACCATGTTGACCAGGATGGTCTCGATCTCTTGACCTCATGATCCACCCGCCTCGGCCTCCCAAAGTGCTGGGATTACAGGCTTGAGCCACCGCGCCCGGCTTTTTTTGCCTGTGTCTCTTATCGCTAGTCTCTGCATGTAGAGCTATATCTTTATATTTCAGCTATATAGGCCCTCAGGGAATATGGCATCTGCCTTTCTCTAAGATCAGAATTCCTTCCACATTATCCTTGGGAGGTGATTACTTACCCTCTGCTTCTTTATTTTTGCTGTCTGAAAACTCAATTATTTAAACGACAGACTAACTTTTTAAAAAGAGTTCTTATTGTTAAAAAAAAAAGTCTCTCATTTATGAAATTGGAACATTACTCCTTGCATTTCTGACTCCACAGAGATCCGCTTTATTTTTCACATGATAGCTCTTTGGCTGTCGTGTGGAAAATGGCTGGTTCTTTTATCTTCCCACCAGTCTCTTCTCTTTCTAGGCTCAATGTATTCATTTTCTTCAACTGTTCCTCATAGGAGAAGGTTTTTAGATGATTTTCCAGGTCCATTCCTAATATTTTTGGGAATTGGGGCAAGGATACAAATTGCAGGTCTGCTATGATTTGGATATTTGACCTCTCCAAATCTCATGTTGAAATTCGATCCCCAGCATTGAAGGTGGGGCCTAATAGGAGGTGTTTGGGTCATGGGAGTGGAGCCTTCATGTCTACATTAATGCCTGTTGTGGGTGGTGAGGGTGAGTGAGGTCTTGCTGTTAGTTCCCCCCAGAGAGCTGGTTGTGGAAAAGAGCCTGGCACCTCCCTCCGCTTACTTCCTCTCTCACCATGTGATTGCTGCACATGCTGGCTCTTCTTTGCCTTCTGCCATGAATGGAAGCAGCTTGAGGCTTTCACCAGATGCCTGACCTTCCAGCCAGCAGAAGTGTGCACCAAATAAACCTTCTTTATAAATTACCCAATTTCAGGTATTCCTTTATAGTAACACTCAGTGAACTAAGATGAGGTTCGTATGTCTAAAAATTTACAAGTTATGAATCAAGTTAACTGATAAATACAAAATGTTCCATTGCCTACTTTTAAGAAATAAAACTTCCTGGTAACCTAGATCAGAGTCAGACAGAGAATTCAGATTCCTCTGAGTTTGTTTTTTCGTTTTGTTTTTGAGACGGAGCCTTTCTTTGTTGCCCAGGCTGGAGTGGAATGCAGTGGCACGATCTTGGCTTACTGCAATCTCTGCCTTCCAGGTTCAAGTGATTTTCTTGCCTTAGCCTCCTGAGTGGCTGAGGGACCACAGGTACCTGCCAACATGCCCACCTAATTTTTTGCATTTTTATTAAAGACAGGGTTTCACCATGTTGGCAAGCCTGGTCTTGAACTACTGATCTCAAGTGATCTACCTGCTTTGCCTTCCAACTCTGAGTTTGTTTTTAGAACAAGGTAAAGTGCAGAGAGCCAGCCTCTGACCTGAGATCTTCTCTTCCCCAGGCTCCTTGCAGTAGAAACTTAACATGTGCATATCTGGAACTCCACCCCATACATCTCCATACATCCTTCAAACGGCAGCTCTTTGACCATTCTTTGGGCTTGGGTTGTAAATACTGTTGGTGGGGTCATCTGTCCTTAGGACAACTGACTCAGAGAAGGGGCCTGAGTAGACCCTGGAAGCAGGTGGGAAATTTTGGAATCTTGGTCAAGATGAGGGCTGGGGTATGTTGGCTGCAGATGAGCACATCCTTTGGGCCCTTAGCACAGCTGGCCCCATAATCCGGGGTATTGTTAGAGGAAGGCCAGTGCAAGGCCCTCTAAAGCTTGAGGCCTAGGATGGGTGACATTGCTTAGGTCCAAGCAGTACTGTTCTATCCAAGTCAAACTCCGGACTTGATCCTATTTGCTAGAGTTTGTTATTGTGGAAAATGTTATATTCTCTCTTATGGTGCCTCAAATTAGATATGATATTTTAGTTAGAGCTTTTTAACCAACGTGCCAGCAGTACTCTGAATGTGTTACAGATGGGCCAGAAATACTGATTCCTTTAGTTCTTAGGATTGTCAGGGCAGAGTGGCAAGAGCTTCTAGGCTGATCACTTTCGGGTTCCAGCAGCATGACCTGTTTACCCCAGGGTGCCTGTACCAGTGCTATTATCCTGCCAGTGTCAGGTGTTCTATAGACAGCTTTAGTAACATTTTTTTAAAAATGAACATTATCATTTGGTCCACTTGACAGCGTCAGAGGTGTCAAAGTAGGTTTTGTGCTCTTATTAGT